TCGTTGAAAGCTAATAAGTACTATGGAAAACTTAAGTAAGATAAGAGAATAGGAGGCCTTGGTGGTGGTTTCGGTGCCATCAAGTTGGTTCCGACTCCTGGCAAACCCTATATAGGATTTCTGAGGCTGTAAATCTCTGCATGAGGTCATCTTTCTCCCATGAGGTAGCTGGTAGATTCAAACTGCTGACCTTGTGGTTAGCAGCCTGGCTCATAAGACAAGTATGCTACCAGGGATCCTTAGGAAGAGCTAGGGAGTGAAATCCAATATTAAATAGGGTGGTAGGAGTTGGTTTACTGTGGAGATAACACTGATTTTGTGTTGTTAGGGGTTTGTATGCACTACACTGTGGCTTGGGAGGATGGGCTCAGGAACATTAGAAAAATGCTGAGGGCCTGCTGATTTGAAGGAGAGCATGAGAATTTCCTTTGGAGTAACATGTGTCAAAATATAAACCAATTTAGAAGAGTGAAGCTTTCCAGATGGCCTGGTTGTATTTTGTTCAACTTCCTAAATTGTATTGTGCACACCCCCACCTTCCTGAAGGGTAGATGTTGAGTCCAGTCCCCCTGGCTTGTGACATCATGGCTGTTGCATCTGTTACTGAACTGTCATGGAACCTGATGCTCAAGGCCATGGTCAGCTGTTGGCCCTTCTTGTTGGCCTGAGCCTGAGTGATTATGAGTTCCACAAAGTGGCCACTAAACACATGTGCCTAAGTAAATCTAAGCCTAAGTTAAATTAAATAACATAAAAAATTCAGCAGATTGGCTCCACAACCAATGCTCATAGAAACAGCAATCGAGAACTCAAATGACGTGTTGCATAAGACAGATCTGCTGCACAAGACCTCTTTAAAATGTTCAAGAGCAAAGATGTCAGTTTGAGGACTAAGGTGTGCCTGACCCAAGCCATGTTTTTTTCATTAGCTTCATGAAAGTTGGACAATAAATAAAGATTGCCGTAGAAGAGTTGATGCATTTGAGTTATGGTGTTAGAGGAGAATGTTAAAAGTACCATGAACTACCAAAAGAACAAACAAATCTCTGTTGGAAGAGGTATACCTGGAATGCTCCTTAGAAGCCAGGATGGCCAGACTTCATCTCTCATACTTCAGACATATTATCAGGAGGGGCCTGTCCCTGAAGAAAGACATCATGCTTGATAAAGTGGAGGGTCAGCGAAAAAGAGGAAGACCCCCAAACAGATGGATGGGCATAGTGGCAGTAGCAATGGGCTCAAATGTAACAGAAATTGTGAATACGACACAGGATCAGGCAATGTTTTGTTATGTGATGCATGGGGTCGCTCTGAGTTGGAACTGACTTGTCCACACCTAACAACCACATTTCCATTTCTCCATGATACCAATCACCTTTCAAATGCTCCAGAGTCATGTCTGGCTAATGGGTACTGTGTTAGCACAGATAAAGAACTCATTCATCACTGCAGAAAGTTCTATTGGAAGTTGTTATTTTATGTGTTTATGTCATTCATACTTACCAAGATAAAGGTATGCATACTTGCTTGTATTGGTTTACATATAATTTGGTTTCTGTGTGTGTGTGGTACCACCCTCAGCTTCCTGGCCTATCTTCTTTTAATTTGTTGCTTCTTATTATTTACAAGACTAAATATCATTGTTGTAAAGTGCCATAGAGTCAGTTCTGACTCGTAGGAACACTGTATAGGGTTTTCGGGAAGCCTACTGGTGGGTTTGAACTACTGGCTTTGCTGTTCAAGCCAACCTTGCTACACCAGGACTATAAGTCTAAATTTTTAAAAATTTAATTCAGAATCTTGTATAATATAAAAGAAAGCCAGGAAAGCCTTGTTAAAATCAAATACCTGAATTTTCTTACTAGGAATTAATGTTTCTCCTCTCATGGCATCAAGGCCCTATTTTCTCGATTGTTGCTTTGTAGCTGTGCCGAGACCTGGACCACTGAGGTACTGTGGGAGAAGGGATATCACACTTGAAAGGTAAAACCGCACATCCGTGGAAAGCTTTCAGCCTTGTAAATGGCCTCTGATTTGGAGTAGTGCCATTCAAGAAATCTTTATGTACTAACTGCATTCCCTAGACCAAGTGCTCTTAGGCCCTTGAGATACAAACAAAAATGAACATGGTCCTAAGTTCTAGAAGATTGCCGTTTAGGGAGTGAAGTGACGCATTGTGGGCAGAGTTTAATTTATTTAGTGCCAAGGAAAGCCCAAGGTGCCCTGAAATGCCAGAGGAGGGTGGTATATGACCTCTCCTGACTGGAAGTGGGTTGAGGGGATGGAAAAGGTTGGGGGCCAGGGAACTCTTTGCAGAGAAGTGTTTCTAGAGTGGAATCCTGAGGGAGAGATGCATAGATGTTAGTCATCTGATAGGAGTCTCTGGCTGATACAAAGAGCTGAGTGCTCAGCTACTAACTGAAAGAGTAGTGGTTGGAGTCTACAGGAGGTACCTAGGAATAAAGGCCTGAAAACCTGCTTCTGAATAGTCACAACCATCGGAAACTAGGGATCACAGCTCGACTCTGCAAATGGTACTTTAAAGTCACCTGATGAGGTTGGGGGAGAATGTCAGCAAGACTTGATGCACTATAGTGTACAAAGACACTGAGAGGTAAAATAGCCCAGCAAGGGAGGGGCCACTAGTAGTTTAGTATGTTTGGAGTTTAAATTGAAAGAGACCCAGTGTCTGTGGAGACAGCTAGGTTTAAGAGATAAGTTGAAGTGATGGAGTTTTTGCGGAGGTGGGAGAGGACTGTGATAGTGGTGACATAGGCAGATGTGACCTTCCAGTAGCTCAAATCAAGTTGAAGGAGCTGGGCACAAAGCTGGGATAGGAGCTGTGATGGTGTTTAGTGGGGAGGGACTTCCAACTGTCCAAAGAAGAGGTACTGAGGGCCCCACGTGGGCGAGTGTAATAGCATGGAATGGGAATGAGGGTCAATCGATGTGTAAGGATACATTTAGCAGTATTTGGAGACTGATTAGATGTGCGGGATAAAGGAAAGAGGAATCAAAGATCACTAAGCTTTCAGGAAACAAATTCATTGGAACTCTTTTTCCAAGTTTGTGGTGATCCGCTTTGGTGCCTGTCTGCTACTAGTGATTTTCATTGCTACATTCACTGGCGAGCCCACTCTCACGTATGAAAAGGACTTGATTTGAAGCTAGACTGTAGTGAAGTACCGCCCTTGTATGCCTTTAATTTTGCAGTGGCCTGTGAAAACGTATAGGAATACGGCTTCATTTCTAGTGGCTTCTATCCAGATGCCAATATTACCCCGTCACTGGGACATCCCTTGGGTGGACCACTGAAGCTGTTATTCATTAGGAACAGCTGAAAACCATCAGCAAAATTCTCTTACTATGCCAATAATAACTCCAGTCAGATTTCAAGGTAACTCCAGGTTTCAGAAAGTTATGAATTTCAAAACCTGACTAGCTAAACCTTTACTTGTATTTTCGCACACATTTCACATGTGAAAAAGCTAGTGGCTTTCTTACATTCTGTACTTGCACATTACCTTCTTTGAGATTAAAAAGAAAATTTTGAGTTCTAAGTTTTGGAGGAGACGTTCTTATAGGTCTATAGCCAATCAATTTAAAGTGACAGTATGAATTCAGGCCAAGCGGTGGAACCAGAAGTAGGAGAGGAACTCGTCCAAAGGGCACATTATTATGGGGCCAGTAGCATAGTGGTTACGAATTGGGCTGGGAACCGCAAGGTAAGCAGTTCGAAACTACCAGCTGTTCCGTGGGAAAAAGATGAGGCTTTCTGTTCCTGTAAATTTACAGCCGCGGAAACCCCGTTACAGGGTTGCTATGAGTCGGAACCGACTTCACGGTACATAACCACCACTACCATTGCAATCAAGAGTCCTCTCATACCTGCTATACATTTAAGAAGAATTTACAGCCCAACAGTTAACATTTTTATGACATCTGCTAAGCTTTCAGAAATATCTCTGCTTTGTGAGATTAAGGAAAGAATGCCAAATACATGTTGATATTTTTGGTTTTATTGACATATTTCATGACTGCATGGCTGAAACCACCAATCAGTAGGCGCCTATGACTTTCTTTTAGATTGTTATATTTAGCCATTGCATCTGGCCTCTGTTGCTAAATATTTTTTGCTTGTCATGTTAACTATTACATCAAATTGAGTCTTTGGTGGCTTGTCAGTTTTGAAGGACCCCTTGCAAGATGTGAAGACCTATTCCCTTATCAGGAAGATCTGGGCAAGTCTTGTGGCATGAGAAAAGATGGCATAATTTATTTTCCTAGGTGAGTGAACAGGATTATAGGATAATTATACAACATCTTCAAAATATATTTGAAAAATACTGATATGTTTATATAACAAGTACTGTAAACTGAGAAGTTTGGGACGTCTTCACATCCTTAAAGAATGTTTTGTACAAAGGAGAAAAACAAGCAAGTCTTCTTTTTGTGATTCTTGAGAGAGGTGATGTTAACCATTTGCTAAAAGTTAGATTTATGAAGACCATTGGTTTCAAACAGTATTCTCGACAAACTGCCATCCTTTGTGTGATATCAGTGTAGGTTGTTTAGCAAACTATTAAACTAGTTTTATGAAAAGATAAATATGTGTTTCATTAATCCCTAAGGAAGTGTTCTGAAATTCATTTTCCTTATAAATAATTACTGTCAGTTCTGTGAAATTCATGGCTTTTTAGGGTGGGAAAGAAGTCGAAAAAAAAAAAAAAATTCTCTTCAAACAATTTGTGATTTAATACCAGCTGGTCAAGCAAGTTGAAAAACCTTATGAACCGTCTGTTATATTATCTTGAATGTCTTTTCTCTCTCTTGGGGAACTGGATAAACCCCCACAGTCTTTCTCCCATGATTCTAAAACTTTGATCTTTTAAAACCAGTTTGCCAGATGTAGCAGTTCGAGCACATGTGACCTCTGGTGTGCCAGTTTAACCTGGCCAATCGGAAACCATAACTTAGTCTTTTATGACTTTTATTCCTAGGCATTACAGCAGAAGTTCTGGTGGTGACCTCTTTCGATGAACTGCACAGAAGGGCCCCACAAGCCAGAGGGAAGATTGTTGTTTATAACCAACCTTACGTCAATTACTCGAGTACAGTGCTCTACCGAGTTCAAGGGGCTTCTGAAGCTGCCAGAGTAGGGGCAGTGGCATCCCTCATCCGATCGGTGGCTTCCTCCTCCATCTACAGGTTGGTCACACTGTTCACTTGAATCCCTTCCAAAAAAAAAACCAGGGCATTCTGTGAAAGAGAAGCTGAAGAAATCAAAACAAACCATTCACATAAAAATACTGATGGTTGATGGCGTTTTCCTCCCTTTCACATTTAGTTGTTTGTTTATAGTATCTTCTTTGGCCTTTTTAGGATTCCAAACAACATCTGTACCTTCCTATAAAAAAGCTTTCTACATCCATGGTGATCCCATAACATTCCTTATTTAATTGATATGTATGTGTTGTGTATTTTGGAGGGAGAACTGAGTTCACGCCCGTGTTTCATCAAAGATTCCTAATAACTTCAGAGGAAGCTGTGAGAAAAGTGAAATAAAAATAGAGCTGGGTAATACAACAGAGGATATCTGTAGTGTGATGGAGGGAATTGAGGAATCGGACCACCTGGGTCTGCCAACCAAACGGCTGTGTGGCTTTGGGTGTATTTGTTAAACTCTCTGGGCCTCAGCTATATATGATTATTGTTGTTGTTAAGTGCCTTGGAGTCGGTTCCGACCCATAACAAAAATATTTAAGAACCGCTGATGAAAGACGCACCAACTTAGTGCTATAGTCTGCTTTCTCTGAGATTTCAAAACACAACAAAACAGCAGCAAAACATGCAAAAATATGTCCAGATAAAGTTTACTTTGTTCTCAAGATTAGCACTTTGGTATCTATTGTTACGGGATTTTTTTTTCTGGAGACACAGCTGCTTGATTTTAATTGGCACCCTACACTTTAGAAAATCAAATGACTGAGAAGGAGACATCAGCAAATAGGAAACCCAGTCACAGGGAGTTGTCCAAAAGTGCAGAGAAAAGGAGAGAGATGTTTTTCTTTTATAAGGCTAAGATATCTTCCCATGAGAGGAAGATGGGGCATGCTCAAACCACTTGTTAGAAATTTTACAAGCGAAAAACTCTTTACACTGATGTCATAGTGCTAAAAATAGGGTTCTTTGTAGTGTCTTTAAAGGTTTCATGACTGAAATAATGATTGGACCATATTCTTTTGGATGGTAAAATCTTCCCAGGAGGGAAGTCCTAAAATGGCTAGCTTACTTCCCAGAATGCCTCACTTACCCTTTGGACTAACATACCCTGTAAGCTGTGCACAGTTACCATGATTTCATTGGTCATGAGATCTAAATTATAGAGTTACCCTGTTGTTCTGTGAATCTGGGTGGCTGCCAGGAATCTTTAGTTAAGAACTACCACTCATAAGACTAATAAATTCCCAGATGACTTAATGCACAGTGATCTGCCAGGGTTCATTGTTTTTTTTTTTTTGTTTTGTTTTTTTTTTAAACTGGCATAATGAAGACATCTGGGAACTGAAACCACAACCTGGGAACACCATAAACATTTTATCTAGCATAAACCCAAACCCAAACCCAGACCCAGTGCAGTCGAGTCACTTCCGACTCACAGCTACACTATAGAACAGAGTAGAACTGCCCCATAGGATTTCCAAGGCTGTAAATCTTTATGGAAGCAGACTGTCACATAAGTCTCCCTGGAGTGGCTGGTGGATTTGAACCACTGACCTTATGGTTAGCAGCTGAGTGCCATAACCACCATACCATCAGGGTCCCTTTTATCTAGCATAAGCCACTGTTGTCAAGTTAATTCCAATTTATAGTGATCCTAGGATGTAGAAATCAGCAACTTATATATTAAATGGGTATGTTTTTAAATAGTTGTAGGTATGGTTATGTGCCGTGGAGTCGGTTACAACTCATAGCAACCCTGTACAGGGTTTCCGAGGTTGTAAATCTTTATGGGAGCAGAAAGCCTCATCTTTCTCCTGTGGAACAACTGGTAATTTCGAATTGCTGTCCTTAAGGTTCACAGTCTGACTCATAACCACTACACTACCAGATAGAGTAGTTAATATTCTGCATTGATTTCATAGCCAACCATTTTCAATGGACTCTTAACTTTGTAATTCCATCCTTTCAACACTTCTAAATATGTAATCACATTGCCCTTTACATAGTGCTTTACAGACTTTTACGCCTGTTAGCCTATTTTGGAAACAATCTAGTAGGCTAAGATGTTGCTGTTGTTAAGTGCAATTGAGCTGGTTCTGACCCACAGCGATCCTGTATTGGGTTTCCAAGGAGCAACCAGTGAGCTTGAACTGCTGACCTTGCAGTTCAAACCGACTTTGCAGTCCATCTCATTAATCCACAGTGTCATACCATGACTCCAATAGGCTAAGTAGAATGGTCAATATTACTTCAATTTCCTGATAGGGAAATAAGCGTTCAGAGAATTGGAATGAGCAACTCAGCATACTAAGATATTTAAGTTGTTCATCTTGAAAAATAAAAAAACCAAGATGAAACAACAAACGGTCTCTTTGACTACTCCTAGCGAATTGTTCTTAGAGCCTTCAAGAATATTCTATATTCCTATCTGTGCACCATTTCTCTCATTCATTCTGCAGCTCACCTTAACCTGACTTTTGTTAATATTGAAATGGAACTTGTTAATGTTGCAGATAGTTGATTAGTTGTCAGATATAAAGAATGCTTTCTACTACATCATCTTTCTTGATTTTTTTAAGTACTTGTCATTATTGACTGCTTTCTCAATTTTGAATCCTTTTACTCTCTAGTTTCCTTGAGTTCATTTTTATTGCCTCTTTTATACTGCCTCTTATTTTTTCTTTCCTTTGCTCTTTCTTCCTCCTTCTCCTGATTTCTCATTGGAGGTATTCTGCTTGTATTTTTAAGTGGAGAGGTGGACTACTTCCAAATTACTAGCCACCGAAAACCTTATTAATAGCAGTGAAACATTGTCAAATGGCACCAGAATATTGCATATTGAAACATGAGGAATACCTTCAGAATATTGTCAAAAATAGTGCCAGAGGATGAGCCCCTCAGGTTGGAAGGCACTCAAAATATGACTAGGGAAGAGCTTCCTCCTTAAGTAAATTTGACTGTGATGGTACAAATGGAGTAAAGCTTTCAGAACCTTCGTGTGTTGACAGGGCACAACTCAACATGAGGAGAAACAGCTACAAACATCCATTAAAAATGGAACATGGAATGTATGAAGTATGAATCTTGGAACACTGGAAGTTGCCAAAATGAAAGGGAACATATGAACACCAATGTTCTAGGCATTAGTGAGCTGAAATGGACTGGTATTGGACATTTTGAATCTGACAATCACATGATTTACTATTCTGGTAATGACAAATTGAAAAGGAATAGTGTCGCATGCATTGTCAAAATGAACATTTTAAGATCTATCTTGAAGTATAATGTTGTTGGTAACAGGATAATAGCCATACGCCTACAAGGAAGACCAGTTAATACCACTAATATTCAAGTTTATGTACCAAACACTAAATCCAGTGATGATGATTTTGAATAATTCTGACAACTTCTTCAGTCTGAAATTGATCACACTTGCTATCTAGATGTATTGATAATTACTGGTGATTGGAATATAAAGATTGGATGGATCAGTAGTTGGAAACTATGGTCTTAGTGACAGAAATGATGCTGGAGATCGTGTGATAGAATTTTGTAAGACCATGATGTGTTCATGGCAAATACCATTTTTTCAACAACATAAAAGATGATTATACCTGTTGACATCACCAGATGGAGTACACAGAAATAAAATTGACTACATCTATGGAAATGTTGTTGTTGTTGTTAGGTGCCATCAAGTTGATACCTACTCATAGCAACCCTGTGCACATAGAAATGAAACATTGCCTACTCCTGTGTAAACCTCATAATCGTGGCTGCGCTTGAGCCCATTGCTGCTGCCACTGTGTCATCTTGTTGTGGGTCTTCCTCTTTTTCTCTGACTCTCCATTTTATTAAACATGATATCCTTCTCCACAGACTGGTCCCTCATGACAATATGTCCAAAGTATGAGAGATGAACTGTGGACATCCTGGCTTCCAAGGAGCACTCTGGCTGTGCTTCTTCCAACACAGATTTATTCTTTCTTTTGGCAGTCCATGGTACTTTTCTCTTCCAGTGCCACAACTTAAATGCATCAGTTCTTCTATGGGCTTCCTTATTCACTGTCCAATGATGCTAGAGATCATTGAAAATATCAGGGCTTGGGTCAGGTGCACCTTAGCCCTCAAACTGACATCTTTGCTTTCAACACTTTAAAAACATCTTATACAGCAGATTTGCCTAATGCAATATGTCGTTTGATTTTTTGACTGCTGCTTCCATGAGTGCTGATGGTTGGTCAGAGCAAAATGAAATCTTTGACAACTTCAATCTTTTCTCCGTTGATAAGAGTGTTGCTTATTGTTCCAGTGGATTTTGTTTTCTGTACATTCTGCAACTCATACCAAAGGCTGTGGTCTTTGAACGTCATCAATATTTTAATTCCTCTTTGCTTTCAGCAAGCAAGGTTATATCATCTGCATATTGCAGGTTGTTAATAAGTTTTCTTGCAATCCTGATGCAATGTTCTTCATATAATCCAGCTTCTCAGATTATGTGCTCAGCATACAGATTGAATAAATGTCTTGAAGGAATACAACCCTGGTACACATCTTTCCTAATTTTAAACCAGTGTTCCATTGTTCTGTTTGAACAACTGTCTCTTTGTCTATGTACAGGTTCCTCATGAGCACAGTTAAGTTTTCCAAAATACTCATATTTCTCAATGTTGTCCATGGTGGTGGTTATGTTCCGTGGAGTCCATAGCTTGACATGATTCACACAATTGAAAGCCTTTGTAGAGTCAAAATAAAGCACAAACATCTTTTTGGTATTCTTTGCTTTCAGCCAAGATCCATCTGTCATCAGCAATGATATCCCTTGTGCCATGTCCTTGTCTGAATCTGGCAGTTGTTTGTCAATGTATGGTTGCAGCCATTTTTGAATTAACTTTAGCAAAATGTTACTTGCATGCGATATTAATGATATTGTCCAGTGGTTTCCACATTCTGTTGGGTCACCTTTCTTTGGAATAGGCACAGAT